CAGCACAGATCTATAGGACAAAAGCATGTGAGATGAGGGCAGTAGTTCTGCAGGCTGTCACATGTCACTCCTTTACAGTAACCTCTGCTGTTCAGTGTTTGGAAGTAAAGAACTGTAGCAGTTCTAAGTCCCATCTTCTGTCTGCTGCTGCAGCTCTTAGGTTTGTTTTTTTCCCCCCTTCCTTCTTAGGCAAATTATCCAGGAAAAAGAAAATATTAAATAGGAACTTCACTTAATTCATGCACCACATCTATAGTGCTTCTTAGAGACTGCACTGTACTGAAGTGTTAAATGCTGGGTTCAGAGCTGGAGTTTGAAGCTTGATTTTTTTTTCTCTGCTGTTAACTGGTTTACCCCACCAGGTGGAGCCAGCACTTGTGTAACTTGGCACTGAACTGGAGCAGTGTAGCTTCATCTCTGATAAACCCTTGCAGTGGCAATGGTAAAGCCTCGTGACTGCAGGGAAGTAATCTTGGTCTTGCTGTAAACTCCCTGAACTTCTCTGCAACTACAGACTGAGTCAGACAGCCCCAGGCTACATGGAATGGGGTAAAAGTCTAAGGAGTCTCAGCAGAGAAAGGCAACAGATTGTCATCCTGGGAAAGGTCACCACTGAAGGGTTTCTTGTCGTGCTTTATGTGCACTGTCTTCAGAGGGACAGAGAAGCAAAAGCCTGCGCCGTGTACAACTCTAATTTGTCTTCATCTGATCCAGCACAAATGTGGGGCACTGAGTTCACTCTTGAATGATTTTTTTCCTTGCCTTAGCAGCCATTCTCACAGCTTTGATGTCTCTTTCCCCTCCAGGTGATTGACATCTCAATGATCCTTGCGGAAGCCATCAGGAGGACTCATAATGGGGAATCTGTCTCCTACCTATTCAGCCATGTCCCTTTATAACAACTGATGCCAGCTTCTGCTTGTATGGCTTTTTTTTTTTTTTTTTTTTTTTTTTTAAACCAAAAGTTGTTCAGCTTGTTGTAAAGTCCAGTAGAAGACTCTGCTTGTTCCAGTGCAGTTCTCCACAGCTCCTCCTGCTTTAAGTCAGGCTTACTGGTTCTGACCCCAGCATGGGGAGGCTGGGGCAAAAAGCTCATCTCTGTAACACTCCAGCTCTGCCAGCAACCCTGTGCACTGAGGGCTCATCAGTAGGATTGGCTCAGTGCTGCAGATCTGTGGAGAGCAGGACTGACACATGGTGCGTTGCCACAGTTGTTTTGGGGAGTGGGGAAGAGGGTTTGTCTGTGGGCAGGGTGAGATGACCTGGTGTGCACACCCTGAATTGTTAGGGAAGTAGATCTCCCTAGGACGTGTGGGTCTGGATGTACAACGAGGGCCCCAAAGGCTGCTGTCGTATTGCTCTACAGCTGCCAGCTCTTCAAGAGGGATGAGGAAGACTTGTCTTGGCCAAGCTTTGACCGTAGCTGAAGCCCTGGGGACACCTGGGAGGTGTTTCACACCTGGGGCTGGTTCAGCTACACCTTCCTCTTGCGAAAGGAGGTCGGTGTAGCTTGCAGACTTGAATTCCCCTTCAGTACTGAAGAAATGTCCTTTAATGTGTTGCACAACAGAATGCTGAGAGTGTGGTCTGCAGAACTGCCTTGCTGTTGGGTTAACTTAGTGGTGAAGGTGCTCCTTGGGCAAGTATTCTTCTCCCTCTTATGCAGAGGGCACCTGCTGGTTGTGGGCTGTGGGTTTTAGGGTAGATTAAAACCAGTTCTTCCATTTCACAAGTTCCCATTAGCCTTGCTACTGACTGGAGGACTGTGTTGTGTGCTGTACTGCACCTGGACATGCTGTGCACGTGTATCTTGGTCTGTTTTCACCAGTGCTCTGGTAGCTGAGCCTCTCCACCCTGCAGAAGCTTGGCCTCTGGCAGTGGGTTGAAGGGGCTCGTGTTACACAGCACTGGGAAAACTGCAAATCCAAAACCAATCTGATGGGCAGCGAGGTGCCCGAAAGAGAAATACCAAAATGAGAGTCAGCTGAGGCTCTTGGGTGTAAAATAAGTATCATCCAAAACTTGAACGCGTAGTAACTGTACCAGACAATCTTACAATGTCTCTCCTGGACTCTTATGGTGTTACAGGTCAAGCTGTTTCATGCTCTGGTTTTTATAAGCACTCCTCCTCGATTTGTTTGTGAGATGGGGAAGGGAAAAGGGAAAAGAAGGAACTTGAGATGACTTGCTGGGGTAAATAGCATGGCATCGGGAGGATTACTGGGCTGTGAGGGGAACTGACTGAAAAGAGGTGGTCGAGATCTGGGAAGTACGACTTCAGCTGTGCCTTTTAATGAGAACTTCTCCCCTCTCCCTTCCTAGATTTCCTGTCCTGTGGCGATGTTAACACTTCTATTACAGTGTAGGGTTGTTGGTTGTTTGTTTCTTTTTGGTTTTTTTTTTTTGTATAAGAATTGGTGTTTGTCTGGAACGTGCATCCCTTGCTTTGCTTTGCATCCTGCACTGAGCTGTGCCGAGAGCCCAATTCCTGCCTCCTGCTTTGGAGCCCTGCTGCTGCACTGCCAACGCCTCGGGAGCTGAGAGCCAGGACGTCAGAGCAGCAGTGTGAGGATTTGCAGCAGCATTTGTGTTTAAATATGTGACCTGATGAAGGAATTAAACTTTTATTTAAAAAAAAAAAAAAAAAAACCAACAAAACAAACCACAACACGTAGCCTCTGCTTATAAGTGCATTTGAAAAGCCTGAAAAAATGGTGTGTGTCCGTGTGATGTGGGTACATGGGGGGGAAGGGACCTTGGCAGCTCACCTGGCTTAGCAGCAGGGCTGACTGCAAGGTTCTGCTTTGCTGTGCTCACTCTTAGGGCTGAGCTGCTGGGAGCCGTGGCTCCTGTCTGCCTCTGATGTTGTGGGCTCAAGCTGTGGCAGTGCAGTTTGTCTTGTTCTGTGCAATTACATATCTGAGCAGATCTGTTCACATCAGTGTTCAGCTGTGGTTAAAACCTGAATAGTTGAGCAAGCATGAGTGAAGAATAGTGAAGCATTGTGCATAAAGCTAATGATTTGAGACAGCAGGATTGTTCTGAGAAGCACCTGTTTACCTGAACCATGATCCTCTCTTATTGCCTATTGTAGACCCAGAAAGCATAAGTGAAATGGGAGGGAAGGAGATGGCAGCTCTGGAGAAAGGTCTTTGACCTCAGAGCAGTCGTCTTGCTCATGCTGGAGCACCACAGCAGGAGCTGCAGCCTCAGGCAGACTTTGCTGAAGACCACTGCTGTAAAATAGTTCAGTACTGGTCAGTACAGAATACCTGAATTGTGGATTTTTTCCCCCCCCCCAAATTGGGCAGTGTGGGGATGGTGGTGGAACAGGCTCAGTTCCTTGGGAACGTGAGCTTCACAGCACAAGGTTCTCTCAAAAGGGACCTTTCAAAGGGCTCCTAATGGTGCTGGTGTGCATGTCCAGCTTCCTTAGTTGCTTCAATTAAAAGTTGGAGGAAGGGGGAGCAGTGCAGACTTAGAGATCTGCATGGCAGTGCTGTAGCTGCACAAAGGATGGGTGATGAGTAGGACGTGAGGGCTATTGCAGGGAAATAAAGTGGTTTTGCACTGCAGGCCTTCAGATGAGGAGGATCGCACACCAGGATAAAAAGTTTCGTCCTTAAATTAAAAAACTACTCCATTTCCAAATGCTAAACCTATTTGAAAAGACTGGCTGCCTAGGAGCGACCATTGCGATACCAAAGTATCAGGTCTCATTTTGCCCTTCCTGCATGCACACAGGACAGGAAAAGCGTTCTCCCTCTCTGCCTTGGTCACAAGCGCAGCTCAGGCAGCTGTACTCGTGCTGCCCTACAGCTTGGGGGGTGCTGCAGGGCTCTGAGCAGGGTCTGCTCCAGCAGCATCAGCTGCCCTGCAAAGTGCCGGTAGCGACGGCAGCACAAAGGAATGCATCACTCATAAACGTGCCTTAGCCCAGCTCGGTTATCTGGAGGTAATGCTCAGGCTGGGAATGGCCGTGCTGCTGGGTTGGCCACTTGTGCCTGGCGGGCAGCAGGACTCGGAGCGAGACAAGGCACGTCCCAGTTTGCTCTCACCAGCATCTTCCTGCTGCCGTGTAAGAGCCGTGTCTCTGAGGTGGGCTGTTGCAGCAGAATGGAGGATGTGCCTCCATGGGGAAGTGCAAGGGCTGACAAAGCCCTTCTGCTCAAAGCCTCTGCCTGGGCTCAGAGTGAGGAGAAGTGAAATCGGTGGGCGGAAGGAGCCGTGCCCTGCTGTAACACAGCAGCCCTGCTGCATGCATTGCCTCTGCGGGCCGCTCCGTTCTCCCTCGCTAGAAAAACGTGCGGATGCCCTGCAGGAGGCTGAGCTCCGCGCTCACAGCCGGGCTCCTTCCTGCAGCAGGGAGCGGAGCGTTCCAGGCAATGGCCGTCGTGGCCCGTAGCCGCGTGCTGCGGGAGGTTTGAAGCTCAGCTAAGATGGCTGGCAGCTGCTCTATTTCGGGTCGGGGCTGCTTTCGCTTTCCTCCTTTCTGCTGGCTGTCTCGGTTCCGTCGTTGTGAATTACTGAAAGCAGAAATAGCCGCGAGCACGAGGCCGGGCCGGCTGTGAGGGGCGGGCACGGTGAATTTGCCGTGGGAAAAAGCTCGGGTTGGGAGCTGAGCTGTGCGGGATGGGTCCGAAACGGCCGTACGGCTGTGCGGGAGCGGCGGAACCCCGCTTTGTGCCCAAAGGGCGCGGGGCTGCAGAGCGCCGCTCAGAGCGCAGCCCTGCGGGCACTGCGAGCGGAGGGGGCTTCGCTGTGCCCCCCCCTCCCCGACCCAGCCCTGCTGCGGGGCCGCTGCCGCATCGGAGCCCCCGGGGGTCCCTCCTTCCCACGGAGCCGTGTGTACGGGTGTGCGGCACAGCGCTCTGTGCACACACGCACCCGCGCCGCGGGGCATCACGGGAGTTGGAGTTCTCCCAGAGCTCTCGAAGCGGAGGCGGCAAGCGGTGCGCGGACTACGTTTCCCAGCGTGCACCGCGGGCAGCGGAGCAGCCAATGGGCTCGCGGGATGGGCGGCGGCCGGGGTATAAAAGCGCCGCCCCACGCGGCATGCTTCAGTCTCACCTGGGGAGCTCGGAGTGGAGCGGTGCGGTTACGGAGGAGGAGCGGAACACGAGCGGTCCGTGCGGGCGGGTCTCTGCTCAGCGTTGGAGCTTGGGGCGCTGCGGTCGCGCGGGGGTCCCCGGTGGGTGCGGGGTGGCTGAGGGCCCCGCCCTGCGCTATTGTCCGTGGTGGGAAGCGGGCGTGGGGCGGCGCCCCGGGGCGGGCGGGCGGGCGGCCTTTGTCTGCGCGGTGCTGCGTGCCCACCCGGCGCGGAGCTCCGCTGATACGAACCGGGGGGGGTCGGGTCTCATAGGCAAAATGTGCGACAAACCGGACCTGTCGGAAGTGGAGAAATTCGATAAGAAGAAGCTGAAAAAGACCAACACGGAGGAGAAGAACACGCTGCCCTCCAAGGAGAGTGAGTGCGGAGGGGATGGAGCCGGGGCTGGGGGGAGGGGGGGGGGGGCTGTCCGGTCACGGTTGGAGATGCGGGTATCCCGGGCGCTGATCTCACTGCTGAGGAATCTGCGGGGAGAGGCGGTCGGAGCAGCTGAGAAAAACGCAGAAAAACGCGCCCGGGGGCGGGAGGGGGGGTTGTGGCGCTCCCTGTGCTGTACCCACCATTGGGACACAGTGTGCTGCGACCCTGCCGCTGTGGGTCACGTCCCGTGCATGAGGTGCTGCCCTGGGGTGGGGTATCCCGGTGAGAAGCTGCGGGATGATGCTCGCTGCCCTCTGATTGCTGTTGGGTTCAGACAATAAAACCCATTGCCGGGCTGTGAGCGATCGCTCCGCAGCCGATGGGTGCTCCTACGGAGGAGCAGCCGTGGGGGTTAATGGAGCTCTCTTCTTCTCTTACAGCCATCGAGCAGGAGAAGGAATGCGTGAAGTCTTCCTAGAGCGATGGTCTGGCAGGAAGAGCCACCACTTGATTGGTTTTTGTTTTTTGTTTTTCTTTTCTATGAATTAAATCATCTGTTTTTTGTGGGTTTTTTTTTTTTAAACTTCCATCATGTACACGTCTAGAAAACAGCCGTATCGTCTGACCCACTGCCCCGCCTCGCTGGCAGCTTTGGTGAGTGGGGGACACAAAGTGTGGCCCCCCGATCCATCAGCCCAACCCAACCCCATGGGTGCTGCCCAGCTGATGCCTGCTGACCGTGCTGACCTTGCTCTGGTGCGTGGGGAGGTGAGCAAAGGCTGCGGAGGCTCCTGGGGACAGAGCTCTGCACTGGGGGAGTGGGATCCTTTCTGGCCACCCTGTGGCCTCGATGTCATCCTTTTTGCTGATGGTGTTCTGTAACCTCACTCACAATTTGTCTTCCTTGGGGAAAAATGAGAAGTTTATTATAAAATAAAACAAAAGTATAACAACCTCCCTCCTGGCTTGTGGCTTCTTCCCTGGGGAAGGTTCAGGTGTAGCCCTGGGGGTGGGAAGGGCAGGGCTGGAGGTTGGCATTGCTCAGAGAGATCCCTACAGGGGCAGGCCAGCTCAGGGTGGGGACTGAACCTGCTGCTCTGAGCAGTTTGTGTCCTCTGCCCAAAGCACTGCTGCAGGGCTGGGCTGGAGGTTCCTCCGCTGGCCCAGGTCCCACGGGTGCTGTGTCCGTCCCCTTACTGCCTGGCACAGCCCTTCCCTCACCTGCCTCAGCCCCTGCCTTTGGCTGAAGGAGGTTTTTGCAGCCCTCAGAGATGGGCTTGGTACCCTCTCAGCTGTTCCTGGCCCGGCACACTGAGTTTCTGTGTGCATCCCCAGGGCTCTGCTGAGGTTTCCCAAGACTTCCTCACCTGCTCCAGGGTCACCTGCCAGACTGTTGTGCCTGCAGAGATGGGAGCAGACAGACCAGCAGCTTTGATGGCAGAAACACGGGGACTGTCTCCACCAACGGGACGGGCAGGGAGTTAGCAGCTGCCTCACCTGATTCTTGTTATCTTTGGCTCTGAGGGCAAAGACCCCCAAATGTCCTCATTGCAGGAGGAAGGTTGGCCAGCAAGGGGAGGATCATTGCAGAAAAGTGCTCTCTACCAACACTGTCCCTCCCTCCCTGCCCTGGACCTTTTCCTTTTCACCCCAGCACGCTCAGGGTGTGTGGGCAGTTGGGATGCCTGCCAGGTTGATGTCCCCAAACTGGGATGGCTTTGGCAGCATGGGTGCAGGTGATGCTGCACCTTGTGGTGACCATCCCCTAGGGGCTGAGTGCCACAGTCCCTTATGTCCTGGGAGTATCCATGCTTCCCCACTGGGGCCCCGTCCAGCTGCTCTGGGTCTGTTTCCTCCCATGGGTTTATCGGCTGTGAAAGAGGGAGGAGGTGGCTGAGTCACCTTTGGGAGTTATTTGGGTTCTGCAGGACAAATACCTGGTGAGCAGCAGCGTGGGGCCAATTCGGCTCAGGGCTCGTGGCTTGGATGGGCGCCTCCCCCCCTCCCTTGGGACTGACTCAGCCGGGAGGGGATTTGGCCCCATGGGTTTGCACGGAGATAATCTCGGGCATTTCGAGCACAATAAGGCGAAGAAGCCACACTCTGGGCTTCACAGCCACACAAATCTGCAGCTCCTCTGTGTGCAGGGCAGAGCTGTCACCTAGCTGTGCAGCACGGGGCTGCGTGCACAGCTGCAGGGAGGGAGAGAGAGCAAACATGAGCTGCAAGGGAAAACCTGCATGCACAGGAGGTGTTTGGAAGCAGCCATGCATGCGTGCACGGTGTGTGCACAGTGCAGGTGCGAGCTCGGTACGAAGGGAAAGCAGAGGGGATGCAGCAGTAGGTGAAAGCAATGGGCAAGCCAGCAGCACTGCGTGCAGTGCTCAGCACGCACCAACACCTCCCCAAGAAGCTGAGAAGTTATTACTGCTCTCAAAATAATGCCCGGGAGGTCAGCTTTATGAACAGCAGCTTGCTCATCCCCAGTGAGTAAGGGCTTAGCCCATAATAATATGAAGCTGGTGTGCTCCCAGCTGCCTGCCCTCTTGGCCACAGCCATGGCAGCAGAGCCTTTCAGAGGTGCTTGGAGGTTCACATTCAGTGTGGGGAGCTTTGTGCTGCACCCCAGATTGTTCTGAGCATGGGGAAGGGATGGGAGCCGCCCTGCTGCGTGCCTTTGCTCCACACCACACGTGCAGCAGTGACCAACAGCTCCAGACAGTGGCCAAAATTGCTCATCAGGGCCCCCCACCACATTGCATGCATTCCCCCCGGCGTGCCATGAGCAGAGGAGAGTGCTGCCATAGGGAAAGCTGCTCTGGTGACACGTGGCAGTTGTGCCTGGGTAGGGGCAGCTGACGGCGTGGAGCGGTGCTGTATTTTGGGAAGCAGCTGCCTCACACAGGAGACATTGCTTATCGTCTTTCTCCCCTTTCCTCGGTGCTTTATTACAAAGGATTATGGCGTGAAAAGTGGTTTTGTTTCTGTGCTCCCCGCCCGGCCCCCCTCTGTGATTTATCCCCATTTTGGGCAGCAGCTGCAGCACCCTGAGGATCTGGGAGTGAGGTGGAGGTTCTGACCTGCACAGAGCAATGCCCAGCAGGAAAGTACAGGGCCAGGCAGGGATCGCAGGTGATCACCTGAAGTTGCCTCTACCATGGGGCAAAGTGATGGGTGGTAGCCAAGCAGACACAGAGCCATGCAGCAACAGTGGGGTTTGAGGTAGGAAAAGAACAAGGAATGAGGGCAGGGTGGATTTGACCCCAAAAGCTGAGGCACGGAGCAGCTCCCCTCCAGCATTGCTTTGGGGCACTTTCTTCCTACAGCCAGGACGCTGCAGCCACCTCCATCTCCACCCCATGCCCACACTGTGGTGACTCCACTCATCCCCAGTGCAGGGCCGTGTCCCAGTGTGCAGCAGTGATCCAGCACCTGCCAACCACCCCCGCAGCTTTCCAGGAACCAACACAAGATTGATGGGCAGCAGATAAGCATGCAGCAACAGCTTCCTCGTGCTGCGTCTTCCAAACAACAGCCATGCATGTGCACCTACCTCCAGGTGAAACTCAGGCTGCTGCCTCCTCCCATAGTGCTGCTGTGCTGCCCTCTGCGTTTCCAGCTGCTCTGCTCGATGCTTTGTTCCCTCTATCGCTGCTGTGCTGCACAGAAAGGCACGGCTGATGCCATGCACAGTGCAGGGAGCTGGTATACGAGCGGTGCAGAGAGAAGGTGAGAACTGGAGCGAGCAGTAGAGCACAAGGGGCTGGCAGAGGGCTCAGAGGCAAGAGGGGAGCAGCTGGGTGCTGGCAGTGCCTGTGGTGCCCACAGCCTGGCTGGCAGTGAGCCCAGCGCCTGGGGCATTGCAGGAGGAATTACTCAGGGCTGATGGACACAGGCAGGGTGAGGAGGGCAGTGCTGGGCCGAATCAGCACAGCTTTAGGAAAAGCCATCAGGTGAGCGCAGAGGCTGCAGCAGCACTGCTATCCCTGGCTTGGAACGATGGGCTCTGCAAAAACCTCACCTTTGCCATCCCCCAGAACCACCTGAGGGACTCGTGGGATGAGCTGTGGTTGGCAAGTGAGGCATAAGCAGCTCAGCACTGGCTTTGCCCGCCTGCCCACTGCAGCACCCAGCACCCCAGGGACGCATCCCCAGCACCCGGCCTGCAGGCAGCACGTGCTCCCACACCCCAGGGCCTGAGCAGTGCAGGGACGAGCCCACGCTTGTGGTGTTGTGTCTCAGAGAGGCAGCTCAGCTGCCCAGGCATGTTGCTTCTTGCTGCCTCTCCCACACCGCTCCCAGAAGCACCTCTAGCATCTCACTGATGGGAAGTGGGAGGATGTGCTGTGATGAGCTGGGCAGTGCTCAGCTGCCAGAGCCCAAGCAGCTGCTCCCAGCAGGCAGATCCCCTCCCAGCCCCCTCCCCACCAACGCCTGCAGCTCCTCGTGTTACCAGGATGTCCGGAGCAGTTGTTGTGCCTGGGAGCTACAGGGTATTGGGGGAGCAGCTGCAGAGCTGGTTACTGGGACCAAAAAAGCAGGAGAAGGCTGGAGGTCCAGCTACAGTGCGGGGCATGCAATGAGTTCATCGGGGCTCAAGCAGCCACTGCAGGCTGCATGGAAGCAGCTCCCTGCGGCACCGCACCCTATGGCTCACACCCCAGGTCTGATCATTTCCATGCAAAATGCACTCGGGTGCACGTTTGGCACCAGGTGATGGTCAGCAACCCCAGCTCTAAAGAAAGGGCCCCATCTCCTCACACAGACCCCACGCTCCGGGCCCGGCGGGGCGGAGGGCAGGGCAGGAGGACCCCTCAGAATGGGGAAACTGAGGCACGGTGCCACCAAGCGGGGGGCGGCAGGGGATGCTCAGCACGGCGCTGCCCGCAGCCGCACCGCTGGCAGGCACCGAGTGGGCGTGGCCTCTCACGGAGGTGGGCGGGGCTATCAGTAGCCACGCCCCCATCGCGGCGCATCGGAGATGCGCATGTACCGCGCATGCGCCGGACTGGCCGGCACCTGCCCCCGGCGGGTCGGGTCGGTGGGCGGCGGCGGCTGGAGGCCGGTAAGGGCGGGCGGTGGGCGGCGGTACCCCGAGCATGCATCCATCCATCCATCCATCCATCCATCCATCCATCCATCCATCCATCCATCCATCCATCTATCTATCCATCCATCCCTGGCCTCGCACACCCCTCTCAGCCCCGAGCATCCCTCTCTAGCCCCGCGCGTCCCCTGCCGTTCTCCCTCAGGCCGCATCCCCAGCGCTGTGTCCTGGCGGGGGGGGGGCTGTGGGTGCAGCATCCTGTTCCCCAGCAGGGGGTTGGGAAAGGACTGCGGCCGTGTCGAGTCCATCGCAGCCCCGGGGTGTTCCTTACGGCCTCGGGCCGAGCCGTGCTGCAGTTGCCGTTCGGCTCTTGAGATGCTGACGTTTTGCTTTGGTACCGCTGGGTCGCACGGATGCTGTTCAGGTGTCTGCAGTTTGCTCAGCTGGGGGTATTTCTGTGCTGGGGAAGTGAAATCGGGAGCTTTCAGTTAGCATCTCTGCAAGCAAAAGCAGAAGTTTCTGATTTTGGCTTTGTGGCAAGCATCTGTTGAAAGAGCTCTGAAAAAAAGAGGAAGTAAAGTTGAGCAGGGCTGTCTGTGGTTGGTACTTTTTGGCTTGGAAGGAATAGAAGTGCTGCTGTGAGCAACATCAGACCCCCACGCCAGCCCTGTACCAGCCGGTGGCATCACTCAGCAGCACTGCATCTCCTCACCCTGCCCAGGAATGTGGGCTGTGGTGGAAGGAGCAGATTGTGCTTCCTGCCATAGCAGGCTGCTGCCAGCTGGCTCACAGTGAGGGCAGAGGATCCAGGTATGTGTTCCATCCTCGGGTCAGGTGCCAGTGTGAGGGCAGGCAGGCCAGGCAGATCAACGCCGTTTCCTGGATTAAGGGAAGGCATGGGTTGCA